TAAGCTTAGGCAGTGTCTGTAGGTACGGGTCATACAAAAAAAAAATATGGAAGGAGTGAATGGAGGAGACTTTCTGAAATTGGTACCACGTGCAAGTGAGTCCTAGACAGCCGCAAACACTCACAGATCACGTTTTCTTACTAAGTTAGGTTGCCAGTAACCAGCTAGGAGAATGCATGCAGAGCCTGAACAACGTAAATCTTCAGCACAGTGTCTCCAGGCTGAAGCTGATGCGGCAGCGGCTGTAACAAGAATTGATATTCAGAGGCTGTTACCATGACAGACCATGTGCTAAGCAGTTTACACACACACATATGCGCGCGCGCACACACACACATACACACACACACCCTTTAAGTCCTCACAAACTCTCATGAGAAGGTGGCACTCCACCACTCCACAGGTAAGACAATGGAATTCAGATAAGACAAGGTGGCTCACGCTAGGCTGCATCCCTATAAAAGAGAATTAAAGCTTAGATTCGATCCCCTCCACCTACTGTAATGCACCAGCTTTCACAGGCTGCTTATTTATCTGCCCCCATTTTAGAAATTATTATAATATTCTGTTCCATCTCTGCTTTTTCCATTTCCCACATAGTTATCATTGGCCATGTCCGTATCTGCAGTCCACTCTAAGCTGAAATTCTGGAGCTAACTCTTGTGCATTTTCCGTAATACGTTCTTGTATTCCTAACGGTTACTATAATGAAATGTATCAAATTCTGTAATGACTATTATAGACATTACCGGCCCCACCTCTTTCATGAATGTATGTACTACTCCCAGCGTAGTATATCCCACTCCCTTGTTGAATGTACGCGCTTCTCCTAGCATGCTCCTTATCTCTGTACTAATTCCCTACACAGCCCGGCCCCAGGCTCTCTATCCAGCATGCTCTGCTCTCATCTTGAGCCCCACCATCCCACTGCTTTTCCCTGGACTCTGGGGTGCCCTCCAGAACTTCCGCCTCCAACATTATCCTCTGCCCACCTGCTCAGTCCTTCCTCCGAGCTTCTAACTCTTCCTGAGCTGAGGGGAAGAGAAGGTCCTGCTGCTGCAGGAGAGTCCTCCTCCACCCCTCTCGTGTGATCACACGGCACAGCCAGGATCACATGCCCCGTGTCTGTGGCCAGAGCTGCAAAGCTGATCCTGAGGATAGTCAACACCCCTTTCTTACCGCTCTCACCTCCTGTGGAATGACATCCCCTGGGAGGACACGCCCGTTCTGACCCTGTTTCTACTGACTTCTGCATTGTGTTAGGCACAGGGATTGGTAACCTTCCTACCATAGGCTGGAGTCCCTCAATCAGCTACTCCCAGGCACCAGCTTGGTGCGGGTGTCCCAGGACAGTGGCGATTCCAGCAGCCCCGTCTTTGTTCTCAGAGTACTCTCATCCATCTCGTCCATATTTAAACCAGCTCACTGTGGTGATAATCTTCCTCTTATACATAACTATACTTTACATATAGGCTTTTATTTTTTTAAAAAATCCACCGGAGAGCGCTACCATCTGGGTGGATTCCCTCTCTCAGTGCTTAGCACAGTGCCTTGGGCCTGAAAGGCAATTAATGCAAGCTCTCTGATGGTCCTGAAGTTCCCAGGCACTTTCTTTCAGCCATCCTAGTTAGTGTCTTAATGTAATAATAGGTTGATTGATTTTTATGTGAGTCTTAATCACCCATCAGACATTCAACCTGAAATTCTGTTTTGGCTTCCCCAACCAAAGGACCTTGTCCAGGTTGCATTTCCTCTCTGCACCCCATCTCCTCACCTGTTAAAGCAGGTTAATAAAGAACTTACTGTGATAATTAAATTAAGTAGAAGCCCGGGTTAAAAGGTTGTGTATACTCATAAAATTCTACTTCCTTTTTTTTCTTTCAGCATGTTTTATAGCCTGCATCCTGTGCCAGACTTTAGAACTATCAGGAAACTGACATGTGGTCCCCGTCCCCCTTGAATCTGCAAGCGGGTAGGCAGAAACACGTGCAAGCATGTGTTAGCAATGCATTTAGATCTCTAGGAGTTCTTTCTGGAGAGGAGGAATAAATATTTATTAAATTTGGCAGTTCAAGTTGGAGGAATCCTTACGGAGCCACTGTGGTGTGTCTGTCTGCCCATCTGCATACTTTGGGCTTGCCTTCGTGGCCTGGCTCTCTAAATGTCTGGCTTTCCTGAAATAAGTTTCCAAGTAGTCAATCAGACTCCTCTTCCCTCCGGAAAGACGGTGCCCTCAAGAACAGCTGAGCATGCTGATGACGGACTTAACGTATTCTGAAGCCATCCACCAGATCTGAGCCTGGATAAATATGCAAAGAGCGCTTCCCTGTTGACCCTTCCCCTGAATGTGTTTCCCAGCCCTGCTGGCTCTGGCTGCCCAGTAACTCGTTGCCGTGGGAGACAAGTGTATTTAGTGTGATAAGTCACACTGCAGCCTGGGCCTCTTCAGTCCCATGTCAGGCTGACCTTGGTGCTATGCCAAAGGCCCAACTTTTTGAGGACAGAATGCCTTTAGGTTTGAATGCATCCCACATCTGTGAGTCCCTTCTTTAACTAATCCCATTGCCGCATTCTCCTCCGCTCAAGCGCCCACTGCAGCGTGGATCATGCCCATCTGAAACCTCTAAGGATGTCTAGATTGATTCCTTTGCTGTCACCCCCATCTCCTGAGTGTCAGGTTCCAAAGCCATCCAATGACAAGCCCATCTGGGCCCTTTCCTAATGAGGCAAGAGACGCTTATAGAGTAGGGATCAGCACCCTACACAAGGCCCCTTAGCAGCGCTGGGGGTGGAAGGAGAGATACGCAGAACTAGCTTTCAAGACTCGGGTTGTCAAAGTCATTGACTGGAATTCGGGTTAACGGAGGCCAACAGACTTAGTGTTCCTGCAGCTTAGTCTGAATTTGTTTTCCCTTTCCAGCAGAGACAAATGGCAACATTTGGAAGCCTTAAAATATATCACATGCCCTTGTGAATGTTTTGTTTACAGAGTTTATTTACTATAAAATGGTTAATGTTGAGCGAACATTAAACATGACATATATTTCATTTACCTCGCCTAGAAGTCCTATGAAGGGGAACTTGGATCGGCCCCTCTTGGCAGATTAGGCAGCTGAGGTGTGGGAAGCATGATTCATTTGCTCAGGGTCACATGGCTAAGCGGAGGAGGCAGCATTGAAACGCAGAACGCCTGACTGCAGATGACACAGTCGGCACCATCGTGTCACCGTGTTGATAGAGAAGCAGGCTGTGTGTGACAACGCGTGGGGGTCCCCTGCCAGTTGCCAGCTACCTGGATGACCTTGGACAGGTTACCTAAGCTCCCCGTAAGATGAGCACAATCACGAAACACAATCACGATGAGGAACGCAGGGCGACAGTTGGAGTTAAACAGTTAGCATACAGAAAATACTTAGTGTGTCACTGTGTCACTGGCCGAGTAGAGGTCCCACATGGCAAATCCCTCTGCGTTAGGAATCACAGCTTTTGGGCCTCTTGGGATCTTTGCTCTCAATATGTTGCAGAGTACAAAGCACCCGTGAAGCTACAGATGGTACTGAATCCTACATGTACTATATATTTTTATACATATAAACTACGAGACAGCTTATTTTATAAAATAGGTAACAGGAGACATTAAATAAATAATGATAAAATAGAACAATTATACTGTTTTGGAAGTTATGTATCTCTTTCTCCCTTGTTTTAATTAAAGTTCTGTTGCTACAACAAAACACCATGACCAAAAATTGAGTTAGAGAGGAAAGGATTCCTTCGACTTACACTTGCACACTGCTGTTCACCACCAAAGGAAGTCAGGAGAGAACTCAGACAGAGCAGGTCCTGGGGGCAGAAGATGATCATGAAGAAGTGCTACTTACTGGATTGCTCATCATGGCCTGCTCAGCCTGCTTTCTCATAGAAACCAGGACCACCACCAGCCCAGGGATGGCACCACCGACCATGGGCTGAACTCTCAACCATTGATCGTGAATTGAGAAAATGCCTTCCTGAAGGATCCATGGAGGCATTTCCTCAACCGAGGCTCCTTCTTCTTTGATGACTCTAGCTTGTGTCAAGCTGACACACAAAACCAGCCAGTACACACAGGAAAACATCTCTCATTATCTCTTCCTCCCAATGTGTTTGCTTGCTTGTTTTTAAGTCAAGAAAATGATAAGTTGAGCTGTGGAGTAAGGTGTTTTTCATACAAGTGTAAGGACCTCACTTCCACCCCCAGTGTCATATAGAGAAAGCTGGCCTTGGTGGCACATTGTAATTCCAGGAGCTGGAAGAGGGAGACTAGCAGTTAGGTAGATCCCTTGGGCTTGATAACTGTTCATCCTGGTCTGCTCATCGAGCTCCCTGGTGAGAGACCCTGTCTCCAAAACCAAGATGGGTGGCTCTTGAAAGTAGAGTGGAGATCGACTTCCGGCCTACACACACACACACACACACACACACACACGCATGCACACCTTCAAATGCGCTTCATATATCTGCAAGTCAGAAGCTCAAAGAGTCTATCAGGCTCCTCAGATTTCCTGTCCTAGCCATGCACAAACTTTGGTGGCCTTAGCCACCTTCAAAGGACATGTCCTCATCCAGGCAAACAAATGAAGTGTCAATAGTCCATTCATCCATGACCGTTCTCTTCCAATTCAGGTGCCTCTCCAGTATTTCCATTTCATTTTGCCTCTTGTCTGGCTCCATCGGGTGGAAGGTAAATTGGTCAATCCAGTGCAGAACTTCCAGATAGAAGAGGAAGCCTGACATCTTCCCAAAATTAAATGCAGATCCCGAAGCTGGAAATAAAAGCTACAAGAGTGTAAATATCAAGTTATTAATCATTCACAAGTCACTTCCTTCCTGTGGTTTTATCTCAGACACAGACAGAGTCCAGTGTTCCAGTATATTCGCTGCATTTGTGGTTTCCACGGCGATTTTCAAAAGCTTGAGCAATCACTCCTGAAAGAGAGGAAGGAGTTGGGAAGCTGATTAAGTCGCCCCAGTTGGGGAAGGGCTTGAATCTTGCCAAAAGGTTTACAAGACTGATAGGCATTTAAAAGTGAAAGCAGTGTAGAGTCTGCTTGGGATTCATGAGCAGAGCTATGAAAGGTATGTAATTATGACTGAAACGGAAATATAATTTTATCATTTGGGAATCGCATTCTCTGCTCCAAAGCACGGCTATATATAGACATACTCAGGAGGGAGATTCCTTGGGTAGAAGGCAAGTGAGAAAAATCGTGCTTTTCCTTCCTCTGATAACTGATAGTACTATTCAAACCCAAATAGATATTCTCTTATCTAATGATGTGGAAACAGTCACAAATATTATTGCATGGTTTTGAACATGATGAAGGTTGCTTTTACTTTAAAAAAAAAAGACTTATTGTATTGTTTTTCATGTGTGTGTATGTGTGCATGCACGTGCATGTGTGTGTATGTACCTGAGTATATACCTTATGTATACATGGCCTTCAAAAGTCAGAAGAGGATGTCAGATACCCAAGAACAGGTGGTAGGGATATTGCACTGGGACCAAACTGGGGTCCTCTGGAAGCACAATATATGCTTTTAACCACTGACTGCTTCTTTTCTTTTTCTTTTTCTCTTTCTAAGTTGTTTTTATTTCTTTCTTTTTACTTCTGGTTTTTGTCTTAGTTAGAGTTTCTATTGCTGTAAAACGACACCATGGCCACAGCAACTCTTATAAAGAAAAACATTTAATTGAGGCTGACTTACAGTTTTAGAGGTTTAGTCCATTATCATGATGGTATGTTGACAGAAGTTTCTGTCCCATCCAGTCCTGCAGCCATTCAATCCCCCAAAACCACACAGAGGCTTTTATTAATTATAAGCTGTTTGGTCTATTAGCTAAGATTTATTACTAACTATCTCTTACAACTTAAATTAACCCATAATTCTTATCTATGTTTAGCCATGCAGTTTGGTTCTTTTTCTCAAAGACATTCGCATCTTGCTTCCTCTGCATCTGGCTGGTGACTGATTCTGCTTTTGCTCTTCCCAGAATTCTCTTAGTCTGGTTGTCCTGCCTATACTTCCTGACTGGCTACTGGTCAATCAGCATTTTATTAAATTATTATGAGTGACAAATCTTTACAGGGTACAAGAGCATTATCCCACAGTATTTTCCCTTTTTTTTCTTTTCAAAACAGAAACCCTGACTCTAATCTTTTTTGTTTAGCTTTTTCCCTGACCATTATCCATAACAACTTGTAACTAAAACTCTAAAAATGACAAAAAATCATAATCTATTTTCTTGGGAATGTAAGCTTAGTTTTCTAGGCTACTTCCTGCTGACTGGTGGTGCTCATAATCTTAGTCTAGCTTCATGGCAGTAGCTATATTTATTGCCACAATTCTGTGGAGTTTCTAGGTTCATTCCACCATCAAGAGGTTTGATGCCAGTTGCTCATAAACACCATTTAAGTGTTTGGTGGCAGTGGCAGAGCCTCTTAAAAGAGCTGTGAGGTTTTAGCCTCTAATGATGAGCCTATCTTAAAATATCTGCACCTCTGCTCACTACCAGCAGAGCCTACCTGAGAAAAGCTGGTTACCAAGAATCTGTGCTTGTCTCTGTTCTTGTATGTCTATAATCTTTTTTTTTTTAAAGCTTTCTCAGGCTTTACGTGGAAATTCTTGTCAAATGTTTGGGTACCATTTGAAGATGGATGTTTCTATCCCACACAGTCCTATAGCCATTCAGTCCCAAATAAACACACAGAGGCTTATATTAATTATAAATTGTTTGGCCTATTAGCTCAGGCTTATTACTAACTACCTCTTATAACTTAAGTTAACCCACAATTCTTGCCTATGTTTAGCCACGTGGTCTGGTACCTTCTCTCAGTAAGGCATATTCTCATCTTGCTTCCTCTGTATCTGCCTGGTAACTGACTCTCTGCCTTTCCTCTTCCCAGAATTCTCTTAGTCTGGTCACCCAACCTATAGTTTCTGCCTGGTCAATTAGCGTTTTATTAAACTAATATGAGTGACAAATCTTTATAGCGTGGCTTGTGCATATATGAGACCTCAAAGCCTGCCCCCACAGTAATAAACTTCCTCCAACAAGGTCACACCCACTTCAACAAAGCCACACCTCCTAATAGTGCCACTCACTTTGGGGACCATTTTCTTTCAAATCACCACTGTTACTGAATCTTACTATGGAACCCAGGCAAGACTGGAACTCCCTATGTAACTCATCTTGGCTTCAAACCTCTGCAGCTGCTACCTTGGCCTTTCCAGTGTGGGACTGAATGTACTTGGCCTAAGATGGTAATTTTTAACTGTTGTCACTGTTTATATGAAGAACGGCAGCCATCCCACGAGGTTATTTTTATTATTATTATCATTATGATTGTTATATTTTGCAGATGAAAGAAATGAGGCATAGAAAAATTAAGCAAGTTCCCCAGGATTGCACACCTGGTATAGATGATGGCACTATGATTTAAACTCTAACTCAAGAATTCTTCTCTTCATGATCCCGTTCTGCCTCACCAGTGGATTGACAGATGTCAATCTCACTCCAGATGCTTCCATATCAAGAGCTGAACATATCAGAACATTGAAAAGAAACATTATTTTACACAATATATTCCCTGTTTAGTAAGTACCACTTTCTTTTTTTTTATTAAGTTGTATTGATCTCTACACTTTTCTCTGCTCCCCTCTCTGCCACTCCCCTCCCCTTCAACCCTCTCCCAAGGTCCCCATGCTCCCAATTTACTCAGGAGATCTTAAGTACCACTTTCTTAACCTTCTACTTGTGTTCTAGTACCTTTTTAGGCAAGGCAGAACCCTTAGCCAGCCATATGCCTCAGGGACTTTGCACATGTCTTCTCTTGCCTGGAATCCCCTGTCCTCCCATCTTCCATGCCACTTAGCTACCACCTACTCAACCTTAAAATATCACTTCCCAGTGCAGTTTCTCCTGAATGCTTTCCCCTCACCCCTCTTTCGTGCGTTCTCTTATCCTCCCACACATTTTCTTTCGTAGTGACTTGCAAGTTTGCAATTAAATATGTAATTGGTTAGTTATTAAATGGTGGACTCCCCTGCTAAGCTATGAGTTCCATGAAGACTGGGCTCATGCCTATGTTGTTCACTATTAGCAGAGAGCCTGTCAGGGTTAACCTAGTTAGGTTGGGACAGCAAATGAACCACAGAAGGAGTCGTCAGTCAGGCCTCTCTGCCGTCTGTGTTGTGTGATTGTTATACACGAGCATGTATGAATAGGGCAGGGGGAGGGTAGAAGTAGAGGAAGCTGGCCAGAGGAGCTTCTTACCAAGGCCCTGACCTTGGAGCTGGTCCGGGGAGGAGGGAGTGAGCTAACATTTCAGATGGAGACCCCAAGGACAGAGCACTGAGCCAGGCCAGCACACTCTGCTGAGTCAGTTGCCATTTTACCCATTTAGAAAATAAAATCAGCAAACAGTAAAACAGCCTAAGTTGCTATTTTTCTTTCATCCAAAAGCTCTTAACACAGAAACTGTCCTTTGGGGCCCAAAGACAAATGGAATTGCTGTGCCTGAATATCATTGCTTTCACAGACTGATGGAAACCATAAAAGCCGAGATACAAAATGTGACCTGTGCCTTTGACCCAGATACCATTCTTTACTGGGAAGAACAGCAAGAAGAGCCGTGGGTTTCTGAGAATGGGCGCTGCAGTGTCTCCTTTGTCTCTGCCTCATATTGTCCTCCTCTCAATGAGAAGGGCGAGGTGGCAAGATCTCTCAGCTTAGTCACAAAGGGTCTCTTTAAAACCAGTCCTTCATTTTTTAAGCTCAAAATCAATGGAAGAAATCACACGAAGATCGATACTTTCAACTCCATAAAAATTAAAACCTGCTCTATGTCAAAGCTCCACACAACCCAAATTAAAGGCAAAGAGTAAATGGAGAGAAATATTCGCTTCAGCTATGAGGGCAAAATCCAATTTGGTTCAGTTCGACACATGTCTGCTGTGCACGCTCAGGTAATGAGAACTGTTAAGTATTGTTAAGGGTGGGGGTGCCAATCCCAGGAGACACTCTGTTCTTTTTTATTGTTTTTATTGAGCTATATATTTTTCTCTGCTCCTCTTCCTTTCTCTCTCCTCCCCTTCTACCCTGTCCCATGATCTCCATGCTCCCAATTTACTTGGGAGATCTTGTCTTTTTCTATTTCCCATGTATATTAGATCCATGTATGTCTCTATTACGGTCCTTTAGGTTCTCCGGGTTGTGAATTATAGGCTGTTTTTTTTATGTCTAAAATGTACTACATTTTCCTTATCCAGTCTTTGGTTGAGGGGCATTTAGGTTGTTTCCAGGTTCTGGCTATGATACACAATGCTGCTATGAACGCAGTTGAGCATATGTAATTGTGGTACAATTGAGCATCCTTTGGGTATATGAGACACTCTTTTCTTAGAGTTCTTCTGAGAGCAGGGAACAGACCTGCCCAGGGACAGGGGTGTTCACGGTGTAGAAGGACCCCAGAAGAAAGACAAGAGTTTGTGTTAGGATTTGAATCTGAACTGTCCCCCACAAGCTCTTGTTTTGAGTAATTATTCCTCAGACAGTAACACAATTTTGAAACTACATGGAACCTTTAGGGTCCAGCAGAAGTAGGTCACTGGGAACAGGATTTTGAGTGTTATATATAGCCCAACCCTTGTCCCAAGTATTCCTTCTACTTCCTGGTGTGTCATGATGGGAACAACCTTCTGTTCTTCAACATACAGAACTCCTTCAAAGATATGAGTCAAAGTATTTTCTCCGTATGTTGTTGACCTTTTGTCAATGTGGCACCAAGTAGGGTCATCTGGGAGGAGGGAACCTCAACCGAGCAAATGCCCCTGCCGTATTGACTTGTGGGCAAGCCTGTAGGGGCATGTTCTCTTGACTGATGATTGATATAGAAGGGCCCAGCCCACTCTGGTGCCATGAAAAGGATAGGTAAACAAGAGTCAACAATCAACACGTCCCCGATGACCATCCTCCAGTTCCTGCCTTCAGGTTCTTGCCTTGTCTTCCTGCAATGGCTTTCCTTCATGGTGGACTGTAAGATTTAAGAGGAAATAAACCCTTTCCTCCCAGAGTTTCCTTTGGTCATGGTATTTATCACAGCAATAGAAAGCCTGCTTAGATGCCCATTTACCTATGAGCATCTTGGTCACAAGGATACAAAAAAAAATCTCAGATAACCAAAAGCTCCCTGAAAATAAACTTTGTACTAATAAAAGTTGACTAGAGATTACCCAAGGCAACAAGGAGAGAAGAGGAAGGCACTTAAAACCATGCCTAAAACAGACAAAGGCAATGAGACCTGAACATTTTGGTGTGGATGGTTTGATGGAATGATTGGTTTTTCAGAGTTCCAAACCATGCAACCTTGGGAGTGCTGGAGATGAGAATGCTCAACTAAACAAGATTAATTCATTAAAAGCTTCCACTCTGCCCTGTAACTGAGGGGCAGCCATCAAAGACTCCAACAGGGACTTCTTCTGGAGGGTTTGGAAGCAAATCTTGCCAAAGATGTGTTAGGACTGGGGAGATGGCTTAGTACCTTCCAGCTGGCGAGTGAGAGGCACTGAGGGCTTTGAAGTGACTTTTAGTCATGATTTACTCCTTAAGTTGACCCACAGCTTCACGGATATGAGCTGGTCTATTCTAGAACAACCAGTGTGTTGTGTTTGCACAGTGTCAGAGTTGTTTCCCACAGTTACAGGCAAGTGTGCCTGGCTCCAGGGCTGGCTGGTGCAAGGGAAGAGATTATATGGTGTCAGTACAGAAATGTGTTCAAGATTGTCTTGTTTCCGCACCTGCCATTAAGGACATCGTCTAAGTCCTTCATAGTATCCTTGACTGCGTGAATTAAAATTTTAAAATGCACTTGGGAAAAGGGATTATTGTTATTTTAGGATCACCCAGTAACTCAGAATGAACTGCTTCTCCAATAGCTATGTCAAGGCTGCCCACTGTGGGGGAAAGGTAATGTTCTTATGAGTGGGGATTGAAGACGGGCATTCTACAGGGACAGAGGAGCATCCTGATCCCAAGTGAAAAACCAAATGTTGATTCATTAGTTGCTTTTCCCGGTGCTATAACAAAATGCCTTAGGCTCCACTTTGGTTTGTGGTTTAAAGGTGCAGTCCATCTCAGTGAGGGACACCATGGCAGGAACATGAGCAGCTGCTCCATTGCATCCAAATCAGAAAGCAGAGAGAGGGATACAGGAGCTCAGCAGCCCACATTCCTGATGGGTCTCCCCATCTCAGTGAAGCCTTTGCGGGAACTCCTTCAGGACAAACCCACAGGTATGTCTTCCAGGTAGTTCTCAGTCCAGTGACGCTGACAATCACGTTTAACCACCACACTGGGCAAAGCATCATGGGATTTCCCGGAAGATGAAGTACCTAAGAGTGGTCATTGTCCCCAAACTTTGAAATTCCCCATGTGAAAAATAACAGACAACAGACTCCTTCCAGAACACACCTGGGTCTCTGCCAACACCTCAGCTGGGGGCCGCTAGATAGTTTCTGGGCAGGTGATAGGTAGGGGAAAGCAGAAACTGCCGATCATATGATTGCAGGAGGGAGACTCTTACTGCCACCTCATACCTCCAACCTCAGGAGGCGGAGGGGAGGCTGCAGATTGCTTCACTAAAGCTCCTGACAGATTCAGAGCCCCCAGGTTGCTCAGAGCAGAGGTGGAGGCTCAGTGCCCCTCCCCCAACCTTGCCCTGAGCATCTCTTCCACTTGGTAGTTCTAAGGTGTATCCTTCATAGGAATCTGACAACAGGGACATGGCTCGCAAGAACTATGAGAGGCCTTCTAGTGCTGCAGATTCCCAACCTGTGGGTTGCAACCCTTTTGGAGATGTTGACTGATCCTTTCACAGGGGTCGAATATCAGATATCCTGCATATCAGATATTTATGATTTATAACAGTAGCAAAATTCCAATTATGAATTAGTAACAAAAAACAGTTTTATAGTTGTGGGTCACCATAACATGAGGAACTGTATTAAAGGGTCACCGCATTAGGAAGGTTGAGAACCACTGTTCTTTTAAAAACCTTTTGTTTACATCATGCATCTTGACCCCATTCACTTTGCCATCACTTCATACCTGCCCTCTGCCATTGCAACATTCTCCCCCAAAATAAAAGGAAAGAAAATTTAAGAGAAAAGGGAAAAAGAGGGAGAAAAAGGAAAGCAAAATCTCTTCATGAAAGCTGCATTGTGGTACAGTTAGTCATGCCATAAACCTTTATGTCCATATATCTTTACTTGCAAGTATTCATTGCAAAGAGTCATCACTGGTCTGGTTCAAGGCCTCTGGTTTCCACTGCGCTATCAATGCTGGGCCCTCACTGGGTCTCCCCTTGGTTATCCTGCTGTTGCCCTGTGTAGTGGAGATCCTGCAGCTTTGGGTCTACAGGACCAGCCCTTCACGTGCTCCAGCAGATTACAGATGGGGTGGATGTTGGATGAGCCAACACATAACCCTGGTTCTGGGCCTGGGTAGTTGCAGGTTGGTCACCCTGCCAGCTCTCCCTTGTCCTACCCACCAGAGTGAGCTCTCCAACAATGCCCCAGTTAGTGCACCCTAGACAGCAAGGAGCAATGGACACGATGATTGATGATTCCTAGGCTTTCATGTTCTCAGGGCTAGCTCACCTGCAACACCCTCCACCCTAATCCTGTCAACGGGATCAACTCTACTGTGCTGCCCAGGTAAGGTGCAGAGCCCACTTGCCCAAGTGCTGCAGCTCCCTCACCTGCCACAAGCGGCAAGGAGCAAGGTGGGAAGGACATCTTTCCTTCACCCACGTCACCACATGGCAGATGAGGGGGCAGGACCAGCTCTCCCATTCTCACACCCTTAGGGCCAGCTCACTCCTGCTTCAGCCAGCAGGGTCTTTTGTGCTGCCCAGGGTGAGGTGTAGGACCCAATATCCATAGTACTGCTTCCAGTGAGGGGCAGGACCAGTTCTCCCTAGTGTTGTAGCCAGTGAGGGTCGGGTCAATTCTGTGCAGCCCTCCGTGGTAACAACTCTTGCCCTTTGGTGGTGACAGAAATCAAGGACATCAATGCAAACTCGGACTGCAGCAGGGCCACTGACCCAGACATGGGCCTTGGCAGCAGTTCAGGCCCAGACAGCACCATGGGTAGAAAGAGACCCACCTCAGCCTACTCCCCACTGCCTTCTCCTCTTCAGCTCTGCCTCTCTCCACAAGACGTGAACCATTTCTCTCTCTCTCCCATAGCCCACCATGTATTGACTTGCCGAATAGTACCCGACCGCCTCCAATGGGCAGGGTCGTGGTCGCCTTCTCCTGCTCAGTCGTAATCAAGAACCGCTGCTCCAGTGAACCTGCATGAACTCTGATTCAGAGTTGGGGAGTAAGAAGTACATGGAAAAGATGGAGAAGTGGCTCAGGGGTTAAGAGCACCTGCCATTCTTACAGGGGACATGGGGTCAACTCCCAGAACCCACGTGTGGCTCACAGACATCTGTAATTCCAGTTCCAGCAGGAAAACCTTCCCCCTGACCTCCACGGGCACCAGGCACACACTTGGTGTGCACGTATGAGCAAGCAATACACTCAGAAACATAAAATGAAATAAATCTAAAAAAAAAAAATAAGAAGCTGTGGAAAAGCAGGACCCTTGCCTGTGTCTAGAGCAGTCTTGTAGGACAGAGCCCTTACCTGAGGGGTGACACTAACCCTGGGCTGTTAGTGTGAGAATGACTGAGAGGGAGGACAACTTGTCCAGTTGGTGCTGCACAAGCAGAGAGTTGTGATGTTAGAAGAGACAGCGCACAGTGGGAACCGCGGAGAGCGGAGCCGCTTTTATCTGTTGTTCTTGTCTCTTAGAGCAGCTGAGAGGTCTTTCCAGTGTGCTATTAAAACCATTTTCTTGCTTTTTTGACAT